GTACGTACTATATGTATTGTATACCATTTAATTAAAGCTTTTTATGTGTCGTTGTCAGTGCACGTTGTAATTAATTTTGACCTTGAGTTTTTTGGTCAATATATCACATATCATATCCAAATTTATATTAAGCTTGTGTTGTTCTTGTTTCTTGTTTTCTACTCTACCAGTACTCTTGCTAAGTAATAACCATCTAAGCAAAGTAAAATAATTATGAAAAAATTTTCAGATTAGAGTTTCATTGATTTCTCCAAACAATGAAATCGCTTGAATTCATATATATGAAATTCATCGGGTGGGTGCCTGGATTAATTAATACATATTGATAAATGTTGAAAACTATATGTGTAGTGGTGCAAATCAAATCAAGAAAACAAAGTGGTATACACAGATATAGATATAATCTTTAATTGATTGGAGAGGTAAGACCCTTTGTTGGGAAGAAAGTGAACGTAGTGTCTCCTTGAAGATAACGAAGATAGAGATGGGAGACTCTTCATCGTTTTTCTTTTTTGCTTGTAAAGGCCTTCAATGCCAAGCTACTGCTCTCTCCTTTAAGCTTCAACAGTACTATGAAGAGAGGAATTCGGTAAACACACGAGGATCGACACGATTCGCTGATAAGTCCCCACACCACTTAGGAATGTGTCACTTTAACACTAAATAATTTTGGAGAAATAAATATAGATATATGAGTTTTTAAAGTATAAAAATGTAAATAAAAAAGCTCACAATGCATTGGAATTCTCATTTAGGGAAGAACATCCAAGGATGTGACTGGGTTAAACGCTGCGTTCACTCACTGCAGCGCCTAAATACTAGTTTTTCACTTGGATTGTGATGCAATAATGAGGTTAGCAAAACGGGAGATTCGTATGTTGATGCAAACTTGTGGTCCTTATGCCCAACACTCACAAGAGACAAAGCAACACCTTTCTTTTCATGTCAATAACTCGGCGCAAGTATGAGGAGGAATCTTTGGCCAGACGGATCCTTAATGCTGATTTTTCCACCGGATGGGATGATGTTGATAGGAATTGTAAATCTCCCGATGGGTCGTATCCATTAATTCTTTGGCCCTAAGATATGTGTTCCAAGCAATAGTTTATGGTCTTGGCGAGAGAAGAAACAGAAGAAGACATGGAGAAGCTAGTAAACCACTTGTGCAGCCTTGTAAAAAATCATCGACAAGATTGTTCGGAATTGTACTAAAGCTTCATATACGGCCACTAGGGGACCGGGAAGCCCTCACACCACTGTTTTCCCACAAGAAGTATAGCTTGTTCGTGTTCTAAATTTTTCAAAACAAACTCTCAAAATTAATGTTCATACATTTGATATACAAAAGCTTTTTTGATTGAAACCTCAAATTGACATTCATTTACATAAAAAAATGTTAAAAATAAAAAGAAATAAACCTATTTCAAATAGAAGTATGGAAGAAAAAAAACTAATTATGTGTGTGTAAATGAATGTGCTTAATGTTATTATTTTTTTGGAAATGAAAACTTATAGAAAAACTGTAAATGAATAAGTGTATATGTTTTTTCTTTTCAGAAAAGTTTGGCATGCAATTAAATTAATTCTCAATATCTTTTGGTCAAAAAATTTGTATTATATTGAATTTAGGTTCTTGGACGTATCGTTTTACTTGATTTCATTGAACTATTACGTATTGACATATTGTATCCGAAACTGCCAAATTTTACTCTTGGATGTACAATATATATGTATTTCTATAATTGGGTTTCAGATTATCGCAATGGAATTCATATTAAAGCTCCTTACTATCCTCCAGGATTCTTCTAAATATGTGTTTACGTTGTACATTTCATTTTGCAGCTTAACCATTTGATACGTATGTTTATTACGTTAAAGGAGTTGCTGATTTTGGAAACTTAATCTTCCGGATGCTTTGAAAGAATTCAAAATCATTGCAGCCATCTTTCGTGTCTTAATCGTTTGAGTTGGTCAATATATTCTTGAATATATCGAGGGATCCAAATTTACATATATAAATTACGAATTCGGAAATTACACTCTCCGTGTTTCAACTTCACTATATTCTTGATTCTTTTCTCTAGATTCGTGGCGATAGATGGACATGTATCAAACCTAAATTAATAGCTATACGTACTTGCTGTGTC